ATGAATGAAGGCTCCACTACCTTTTTTTTTTTACTTTTTATTATGAATTGGCAAAGGTTTACAGAGCACATCATCAATTTTACATTCATCAATTCCAACACACTGTGTTTCATCTCATTCATTGAAATCCCACCCATGCAATACCAGTGTGATACGATCTCATCTCACCTCGTCCCTGCCTGTAGTTCCCAACTCTACTTCCCCTTCTCTCCTAACTCTTCTGAACTTTGTGTGAGCAAACACTGCCCTCTTGATTTCAGATAATTGATTATTTTAAGGTGTGCTGCTATTTTCTCCTAGGAAATTAATTTACCTGTTGGCTGAGATTTGAGCTAGAAGGATAGTTTGGGTCTGTGCTAGGCCGGGTTGACTAGAGAAACAATTTCAGTGACACTCATTTAAGTGTAAGAGGGAGCTTTATATCAAGCAGTAATTATTATTTAAAATAATCATTTTATTGGGGCTCGTACAATTCTTATCACAATCCATCCATCCATCCATTGTGTCAAGCACATTTGTACTTTTGTTGCCATGAGAAGTAATTATATATCAAGCAAACATCCCAGCCCAGTCCAGATCAAGCCCGTAAGTCTGACACTAGTCTGTAAATCCCTCTTCAGACTCACACAGCCACATGCAGGGATGCAGAATGCAGGAAGGATCCAGGCTGGTGGGGGCAGGGTTGCATGGATCCTGTGGCGGTGGCCGCTTCACAGGACTTGAGCAGGTCTCAGTGTGGCTCACCAGCAGGAAGGTGAAGACAGAGAGAGAGGGGGGCAGGTTCCCAGGACTCTCCTTATGAGAAGGTCATGCCCACAAGGAGGCACCATCAGGCTGTGACCTGATTGACAGTCTAGCCTCCACCCCTACACTTTTTTATCTTGAGTTGACACGAAATTATGTGACTATCACAGGTTCCAAAACGGAAGGGTGGCTAAGGGCCCAAACCTCAGGGCTCCCACCAGTCTCGATCTGACCAGCAAGCCTGGTCTCTGATGATTTTGAGTTTCGTTCAACCTTTCCTCCCCATCCACTCAGGACCTTCTAGAGTGACCCCATGCAGAGTAACTGACATTGGGAGTCAGGCACCATCTAGGTCTTCTGGTCTCAAAAACTTGGAGGCTGATATGCACGTGGTTCATGAGTTCATTAGACAAATGGTTCGCACATGTCTTAGATTTTCATCGCTCTACTTTCTCCTGCATGGGGAGAGACCAATAGACGCACCTTAGATGGCTGGTCATGAACCTTTTTAAAAAAAATCATTTTATTGGGGGCTCATACAACTCTTAGCACAATCCATACATACATCAATTGTGTAAAGCACATTTGTACATTCGTTGCCCTCATCATTCTCAAAACATTTGCTCTCCGCTTAAGCCCCTGGCATCAGCTCCTCATTTTTTCCCCTCCCTCCCCGCTCCCCCTCCCTCATGAGCCCTTGATAATTTATAAATTATTATTTTGTCATATCTTACACTGTCCAACATCTTCCTTCATCCATTTTTCTGTTGTCCATCCCCCAGGGATGAGGTCACATGTAAATCCCTGTAATTGGTTCCCCCTTTCCACCCCACCCTCCCTCCACCCTCCTGGTATCACCACTCTCACCACTGGTCCTGAAGGGATCATCTACCCCGGATTCCCTGTGTTTCCAGTTCCTATCTGTACCAGTGTACATCCTCTGATCTAGCCGGATTTGTAAGGTAGAATTGGGATCATGATAGTGGGGGTGAGGAGGAAGCATTTAGGAACTAGAGGAAAGCTGTATATTTCATTGTTACTACACTGCACCCTTACTGGCTCGTCTCCTCCCTGCGACCCTTCTGTAAGGGGATGTCCAATTGCCTACAGATGGACTTTGGGTCTCTAATCCACACTCCCCCTCATTCACAATGATATGATTTTTTTGTTCTGATGATGCCTGATACCTGATCCCTTCGACACCTTGTGATCTTACAAGCTGGTGTGCTTCTGAGCTTGATGGCCGCTTGTTTACCTTCAAGCCTTTAAGACCCCAGACACTATACCTTTTGATAGCCAGGCACCATCAGCTTCTTCACCACATTTGCTTATGCACCCATTTGTCTTCAGCGAGTGTGTCGAGAAGGGCTCACGAGCTTTTAAGACGCTGGCTGCTATTAACCAAAGCAGGACATAAAATGTTGTCTTGTGGACTCTGTGTGCCAGTGGACCTTGGTCTCCCCCAAGGCTATGGTTCTGAGCCCCCAGGGCTTGTCACACATTCCCTTAAGGTGTTTAGTTATGCCTAAGTTTTCATAGTTCTGTCCCTTGTAGGTGCCAATGCACTCATGGATATATTGGCAGCAAAAGTAAATAAATACTCTTGTATTAATATTCTCTGTCAAACCTATATGTAGTTCCAGAAATCTCTTTATACATGCCTTTCAGTGAACATACACCATCCTTCTTAACCTTAATGCCTTCCTTCACTCTTGTTCTTTCCCCAATCCCAGGGGAATCATTCATTCAGACTCCTGGCCCTACAGGCCCGCCACATTTTCCTGCTCATCAGTCTGGTTCCCGTCAATCTCATTTCTGTCTTGTCAAGACTCTTTACAAGAGGAACTTTTCTGGGCTACTCCTAGTTCCCCACCTCCTGCCCCGTCTTGTCTATCCTGTCAAGGAGGAATTGTCCAAGGTCTTCTATGACCTATGTGTTAGCAAACTCGGGAGACATTGGACGGTCTCCCACTTGGCTTTTCTGCAGCGCTTGTCCCGTTTCCTCTCTCCTCCTTAGCTGCTGGGACACTCCCTTTCTACTTCTCTCCTACTCCCTCTCCAGCCTCCTCGCCTGGCTCTCTCCCCCATCTCTGCCCAACCTCCCCGTTCCCGAGGGCTCTGGCCTCAGTTCTGATCTGCTCTGTTATCTCCCAAAGAGCCCTTCTGCTGATCCTTAGCAGCCGTACACACAGTGCAACATCCCTTATCCTCAGTCATTAGCTGCAAGGCTCACAAGCATTTCCTGAATTCATTTGATGTTAAGCTTTGAGCTGGCCTGACGTGAGATGATTCACTGTCTTCAGGTCCCTATTTTGTGTGACCGGATATTCAGATGCTGCCTGCAGAAATGGCCGTGCGTTTTATTATGGGCCACTGCCCCAGATTCCCCCCAAGGGTGTCGCTGTGCATGCATCCTACAATAAATTGTGTCTTCCCTTCTGAAACTCAGAAAAAAAGAGAAATGGAATTCTGAAACACAGCTGGCTCTCGGGTCTGGGACCGGGGATCTGGACTCCCTGTGTGCCCCCAGCCAGGCCTCTCTCCTAAGGTCATGGACAGTTTTACTGTTGCCTTTAATGAAACTAATCAGAGATACGTGGCATATCTATACAGAAACCATCTAGATATATGACATAGCTGTATAGGTTCCAAAAGAATGGTTCCAGTCATGCCATGAAGGTCAACTCTCCTTTGAAGAGGTAGCTCTTGCCCAGTCATACTTTGAGAACCTCCTAATCTTCTGGAACCATGTTTGACAATGTTTCATTGCTATTCAGAAGGTTTTCAGTGGCGCCCCCACTTAACTCTAGCCCCGATGCAAGAACAATTAGTTCTGATAACCTGGTCCTTCTCAGTACTCATCTTGATGAAATGATCACTGAAGATAAGGGTGCTACAGAAAAATGTGGTGAAGAAAGCAGATGGTGTCCAGTTACCAATCAGAAAAATGTCTGGGATTTTAAGGCTTGTATTCAAGTGAGGAGTCAACTAAGTTCACATGGAAGAAGAACAGCTTGTGTGATCCAAAGATGACAATAACAAAATTCGAATATGATGAAGGGAAAAATATCAGCGCCTAAACTGCACATCTCATTTGTAGAAGGCTGTAGAGGACAGTGGGAGTCCCAAACCGATCTGCAGACTATCTAGTCAGACTGAGCCCCTGGCAGATCCCCTCTAACCACAGGTGAGGGACTCAAAACAGCTTTATTATCATATAGAGATCATTGTAATCGTGAATATACTAGATCGAACTTGATACGTGGCCAGTTGACCTCCCTCTTGACTCAACCTGAAATTGTTCTAGGTGTATTTCTTGCTTGTTCCAAGACAAAAATTTCTTCCCTGGCCTTTTAAAATCCTAATGGCAGTCTTTTCTTTCATACCCAGTCCTCCCGGGCTCACAGCAAAGGAGGCAGTTGCTCTTGGAGGCCATCTGCACACAGTCCACAGTCTCTGATTCCTGACTCTCCTCGCTCTGTCGTTCCAGAAGACAGACCAATCGCTGTGCCTTTGATGAACACTTGCAAGCTTTTCAGACCCCTGGCATGATGAGAAACTAGCAAGTAGAACCGAAGCACTCAATACGTTAGTTAATCAGAATATCCCCTGAAACCATACCCCTGAACTTGCAAAACAAGGAACGAAATCCCATGTATTGTATTGGATGAGCAGCGAGGGCTCTGCTTTCCGATACTGGCTTTTCAAAAATAGTTTTATCTTATTCTGACATCCTCGGGCCTCCTTATAGCTTTTAGCAGGCTTCTAGCCAGCACTTCTTTAAATGACTTTGGGCTGGAAAGTTGATAACCACATGTGTCGGGGTTGTGTGTAAAGCAAGAGTCCCAATTTCCTTGTTAATTTATCAAAGGCACCTCTTTCATTTTTAAAGCATACAGTCTCCTGCTTTTTTTTTTTTTTTTTTTTAATAGCTTCATTCTGGGTTCTCTGCTACATTCCAGTCCACTGATCTCCCTGAATCCATAAGCCCTGGACGTGGAAGCGGCGTAGAGGAGAACTGTAGAATTGTTTTCCTAAAAAGAAAGAAAAGAAAAAAATGTCTTCCTAAAATCGTTACTGCTTTCTGTCTTAAAGAGGGAGGGGATGCCTGGCTGGCTGCTGGGGCCTCAGGGTGGGGTCACTTGGGACAGAGCTGTCCGAAGTTTTGTGAGGTGAGGCACGGCTGGTCCCCGCTGATAGTGGGTAGGTGGCTGGGGAGAGACCATTCACCGTCTCTTGTCTCACTGCGGGTGGCGATGGACAGTGTGGTCGGGGGAGAGCCGTGGGAGCCCGAGGGCCTGGTCGCCTCCCGAGGCCTGGAGCAGGATTGGCACCGGAGGTGAGGTGGATACTTGGGGCGGGGGCGAGGTCTTCAGCCTGCAAACAGCCCATCTCGTGCAGGCACCACACGACACAGCAGCACTGCGAGTGACGCCCTTAATATGTGGCGACAACCAGTTTATAGACACACACCTGCACTCACGGAGGAACACCCTGCTCTAGGTAGGTGGTGACAGCTCAGCTGGAATCACTGACTTTGATATGCATGGCCAGAGAGACTCTTGCCGCCTCCCACAAAGACCTCTTCTCCTGACTCACATGCTGACCAGAGGCATGTGCTTCCCAAATGGGCCAACGCCTCATTTCCGAACTTGGCCAGCACCTTAGAAGGTGGCAACCTCTTACATGGATACTTGGAAGTTTGCTGACAACACACTCCCACAGGATGAGACAGCGAGTGTCTGGTTCAAGGCCACTCTTCACACACGCTCACCCACATGCTCACACATGCACACATATTCTCACGTACACAGTCACACTCATAAACGTTGGCTCACAAACATGACGTTCACATACTCACACATATGAACCCATGGTGCACACCTACTCATGCATGCTCACATGCACTCGCTCAGGCACACACGGACACACACGCACCAGGAAAACACTCCCACACAAGCACTCAGACACACTTAGGCAGACAAGGCCTTGGCTCAGCCTGACCTACGTGCAGATGCTGAAGAGACAGGCAGAGGGTTAATCTACCTGCTTTGGGGACTCCCCAAGGCCCTGTCCTTCCCGGAAGGAGTCTTGGTGACTGGTGAGTACTAAGATGGGTTGCTAACTGTTGATGTTTAAGTTCCAACTGCTAAGTCAGTCCTGGGAACCCACGGCCCTCTCTCCGAGGGAGAAAGACGAGACTCTGCTCCTGTAAAGACTTACAGCCTTGAGAACCCACAGGGGCTGCGCTGCTCTGTCCTATAGGGTCGCTGTGAGTTGGAACGGACTCAATGGAAGACGGTCAGCCTGGGTCCTCCTTGGGTCTTGGATTTCGCAGTGGGGGTGGGGCAGGTTGGCATCATTCCAACATCACCCTTCCTCTCAGGATTTTTGCAAATCACAGCCTGGCGCTGGGGAACATCCGGTGTTTTGGCTTTGACATGGACTACACCCTGGCAGGTAGGCAAGCTACAGAAGAGCCAAGGGAACAGGGGTGGGCAGCCAGGCCCTAGCTGGGCTTCCATCTCCTGAGCTTCCCCTTAGCCTACAAGTCCCCAGCCTACGAAACGCTGGTCTTCGAGTTGCTGCTGGAGCACTTGGTGTGCATCGGGTACCCGCACGAGATCCTGCGCTACACCTACGACCCCACCTTCCCCACCAGGTGCCCGCTTCCTGGCTGGCTGGCTCGGGTTGGGAGTGGGGGAGCTGCCGCTGGCCCTGAGGGCTCCTTCTACAGCCTCTGTGCTCTGTCCCCAGGGGGCTGCTATTTGACACCCTCTACGGGAACCTGCTGAAGGTGGACGCCCACGGGAACGTCCTGCTGGGCACCCATGGCTTCACCCTCCTCTCTGAGTAAGGTGGGGGTTGGTGGGGGGGAGAGGATGGGTAGAGGGCAGAACCAGCCCGAGGAAGGGGCCAGGGGACTGGGCGCTAGTGGCTGGAGGGGCTCTGGGAGGTGCAGGGAGGGCCCTTCGGGCATCTAGCGGGCAAGTGCGTGCTTCTCAGGGCCGAGATCTGGAGCATGTACCCCAGCGAGTTCATCCAGAGGGACGACCTGCGGCGCTTCCACTTCCTCAACACGCTCTTCAACCTGCCCGGTGAGGGACGCGGGAGGGGGGGGCGTGTCCTGGGTGCGCAGGCCCGCCGCTGACCCTCCTGTCTGCTCAGAAACCTACCTGTACGCCTGCCTGGTGGACTTCTTCTCCAGCTGCTCGCGCTACACCAAGTGGGTCCCGTGCCGTCCCCAGCGCGCCCACCCTGCCAGCACGTGGCACCCTCCATGGGGCCCAACCCGGACGTGGGGCAACACCGGGGCGGGCTCCCCCTGAGGGGTCTGAGGGCCTCCCTGGGGGCAGGGAGACTGTCTGACGGGAAGCCAGAGCTGCCCCTAGGGGTGACAGCCCCCCCCCGCCCCCCCGCCCCCCCGCCCCCGGCACCCACCACCTGCACACATAGTGCGGCACCCTTCCTCGGGCCCTTGGGACTGGAGGGCGTCCGCGCTGGTGGTCACCCTGGCGTCCTGGTGCGCCTTTTTGTGCTCTCTCTCGTGGGTGGCCCAGCTGTGACACTGGCTATCAGCACGGGAACCTCTTCATGTCCTTCCGAAGCCTCCTCCAGGATGTCACCGATGCCATGAACACCGTCCACGAATCGGTGAGTGGCGCAGACCGGGGCCTCCACCGCTCAGCCTGCCGGTGGTCCCCAAGGCCGGGCGCCCTCCTGGTCACCCTGCATGCGGACACACACACACACACACACACACACACACACACACCACACCATACAGGTACACACAACACGCCCACACATGCACACACCACACACATACACCCCCCCCCACAACAACCACACACCACACATGCACCACATACACACACCACACGCATACATCTGCCCACACACACCATACGCAACCACACACACCATATACACACACCACACACACACTACTCTCCACATACATACACCATATATATACACAGCTCATACATGCACTGCACACAGCACAGATACACACACCACAACACACACATATCACACACCACCCACACAGCTACACACACACACTCCCCCCGCCCACCCGCCCGCCTCTCTGTGTGTGCTGCAGGGCTGTCTGAAGGAGAGGACCCTGGCGGAGTTGGAGAACTACGTGCAGAAGGACGTGAGTGCCGGCAGATCCGGGCAGCAGGAGGCGGGCGCAGGCACAGCTCTATCTTCCCTGTGGCTCAGGCTGCCTGCTGGCCTGGGGTCCAGCTGCTCCCAGAGACTGTGGCCTGCTGGGCTTCTCAGAAGCTGACCCTGGGAGGGGGATTCCCCTGGGCAATGTTGGGAAATCCACCCTCAGAAGCCACTCTGCTCTCTGTCCCAGGTTCGAATCCCCGTCCTGCTGGGCAAGATGAAAGAAGTGGGGAAAGTGTTTCTGGCCACCAACAGCAGCTACAACTACACTGATGTGAGTGTGTGTAGACAGCGGGGTCTCAGCCTCTGTGCTGGGGAAAGGAGGCACTGTCGAGGGTGGTGAGGTGGTAGAGGTTGGGGGGCCCTCCTACCCTCTCTCCTGCCTGGCATCTGGGGTCTATTGCATGGCCTCTTCAGGGCTCACTGGAAGGAGCAACTTTCTCATCATTGTGCTCCTGGGGCCCCGAGCGAGAGCGTGGGGGGATGCGGGGTGAGGGGCAGAGGCAGGCAGTGGCCCCCAGCCTGCCCCAGCCCAAACCTGATGCCCTGCCCTCTGCCCTGTTTCTGCCAGGCCATTATGTCCTACCTGCTTGGTGTTGGTGAGGTGAGTGCCCGTGAGGTGAGGCCAGCATGGCAGCCCCTCAGACTGTACAGAGGGCAGGGAGGGCTGAGGGGGCAGGGGTGTGAGCGGGGGACACCTGTCTGTTCTTGCTTCTCCTATGCTGAGCCCTCCCCTTGAGGAAGAACAAGTGTGTGAGAGGGTTTGTTGTGTGTGTGTGTGCGCGCGCTCACTGGCCCTGGATGGCCCAGCGACCTGCCCAGGAGGTGCAGCGTGGCCACTCCTTCAGGGAGGAGCCTGGGGGAGGAATGGGTGCTGTGGCCTCACCAAAAGCCGCATCCTGTGGGGAGAGCTATGGGGAGGGGCTGGGAGAGAGTGTTATGAGGGTGAGGGGAGGACAGAGGACCAGGACAGCTCAGGCCAGGGAGGAGCACAGTGTGTGACAGGCCCAGGGGCACCAGGGGTGACCAGGCATCACTGGGCATGTCATGATTACTCCCCTGGAGGCTGACAGCAGGCATTCCCAATGCCCAACACAGATCTCCACAAACACCTTTCTGGCACACAGCTGGCTGGGGATGCTGGGGGTGGGACATCCTGGTTCCTGGGCCAAAGGGGTCTCATCCAACTGGGCTACAGGAGCAGGGCACGTGGGGGGACACGGGGCTGAACTCAGACTGGCGGCTCAGTCAGGCGACGTGGTGGGGTGACCTGGCTGAGGTGGTGTGAGCTGGTAGTTGAGTCAGAAGTTTCAGGCTGAGCACACGTGCCCGTGTACACCCTCCTGCACACTGCTTCATAGGTGGGTGCCACAGCCCGGCCCTGGAGGTCCTACTTTGACCTGATTGTGGTGGACACACAGAAGCCCCGGTTCTTTGCAGAGGGAACGGTGCTGAGGCAGGTCAACACGGTAATGACCCAGGCCCGGTCCACCTTGACGGCTGGGCTGCTCAGGGGGCTGGGGCTTCTCCTTTAGCTTGACAAGCTCTTGGCAGCCACCTGCTCAGCTGGCCTGTCACCCTTGGAGGCAGGGGACGGAAGAGGGGGCTCCTCTGGGCCCTGGGCCACCTCCTTCCTCCCATGTCCCTGTGGCTACCCTTGCTGTACCCCCCCCCCCTCCCAGCTCTCCCTCACAATAGGTAGAAGCCTAGGCTCTCCTGACTCCAGGGAACCCTTCTGCCCCTCAGGACTCAGGGAAGCTTCGAGTGGGCACCTACACCGGGCCCTACCAGCACTGTGCCGTCTACTCTGGAGGTACCAGCTTCCGCCCACACCCCGTTCCTCTACAGCGCCCTCCACTAGGAAGCCCAGCCCCTCACTTGCCCAGCCAGGATGGGGGAGCAGGGAACTGGGAGCAAACATCTCTCCTCTCCGGAGGCAGGTTCATCGGACTTGGTGTGCGAGTTGCTTGGGGTGCAGGGGAAGGACATCTTATACATCGGGGACCACATCTTTGGGGACATCCTCAAATCCAAGAAGCGCCAGGGCTGGTGGACCTGCCTGGTGGTTCCTGAGCTGTCCCGGGAGCTGAGCATCTGGGCCCAGGAGAAGGGTGAGTGGCGGAGGGGAGACATGGTCACCAGTGCAGATCCAGGCCCCATCTTCCCCTTCCCGTATCTTGTCTGGGGCCGAGTGACCATGACAAGCTCGTCCACTCTGGTTTTTGAAACCCTGTTACCCCATGAGGGAGGGAAAAGCTGGGATTCCAATCCCAGTCTCGTGGCTGCAGAGTGCACGATGTCTCTGTGGAGCCATGATGCACCGTGGGATACAGATTGGGCTGCTCCCTGGGACACAGGCGAGGCTTCCCACCCCTGTAAAGATTCACAGTCCTGGACACTCACAGTCTAGGCCACAGGGTCGCTGTGAGCCGAGAGCAACGCAGTGGCAGGGAGCGTGGTGTCTTTGGGGGTGTTTCTGTGCACACGGCCGATTTCCACAGACCCTCCATTCTGTTACCACACTCACTCTCTGCCCCTCCCGTTCATCCTAAGCCTCTGCCCTCCCTCCATTAGCCCCCAGGGGTGATTTCATGGTATCCACAGGACCAGTGCTTGCTGGAGCCCAGCAATTCAGGGTTTGAATCAGCCGGGTTTGAGTCCTGGCCTGTGAGCAAGGGGAGGCCACCAGACCCCCAGAATGGCTCCCTCCCCCCTTGCCCTAATGGGTGTAGACGGTCCCTTCTTCATGTGGGCACACGGAGGTCTAGGGCTGGTACAGGTGGGCAGGTCAGTGGGTGTCCAGCCGACCCTCACCCCTGCATGGCTTTGGCGTTTTTCAGAGCGGCTGGAGGAGCTGCAGAGGTTGGACATGCACCTGGCTGACCTGTACCAGTGAGAGCCCTGCCCGGGGAGGGAGAGGGATGACGGCGGGGCCCACATCTAGGCCTGCCATCGAGGGCCTGACCAGGGTTGTCCAGAAGCCACCAAGATCTGCTTCGGGGTAGGGGGGTGGGCTGTAGGCTGTCCTAGTAAATTGGGCTTGCACCTGTTACCCCTCGGGGGACAACTCACTCTCTGACCACACCCACCATGCACGGACTCCGGGTGCCTACTATTGCCTACACGTGCGCATACCCACCTGTGCTGCTAGCCCGCCAGCTCCCCCACTGGGAGTCACGAAGTGTCCCCTCTGTCATGGGACTTGGAGGCCTGGCTCCTCTTTTCTTGGGCCATGTGACTATTTTCATTCCAGGCACATGGACAGAAGCAATTGTGGGCTGGAAGCCATCAACTCCACCAAGAAAGACATTTGGGTAAGGACCAGGGGCGATGGGGAGCAGACAGGATCAAGTGCCAGACTAGCACAGCCCTGCCAGCTCCCAGTCCCACCCTCCCCCGCGACCCCCGCCCCCACTCTGAACTGATTTTCCACAACCTGGCCAAATTCTGCCTGTCCCTGTCAACCAGTGCCCCCTGTTGGCTCTAGTTCCACATGACAGCAGTGGACTCATGTGGAGCTCTCTTGGCATAGTGGGCCAAGGTCAGCAGTTCTAGTCCACCAAACACTCAGAAGGAAAAAGATAAGGCTCTCTGCTCTGGGAAAGGTTTACAGCATCAGAAAGCCACAGAGGCAGTTCTGCTCTGTCCTGTAGGGACGCTCTGAATCGGACTTGAAGGCAGGGAGTTTGAGTTTGAGTTGGTCTTTGTGGGACGGGGCCCTTGCCCCACAATCTCCACCAGGCAGACTCCTTGAGAATTGGCTGGCTGCCTGGCTGGGTCCTTTTGTGAACCAGCTATGATTAGATCTAGGGTCAGCCCACTTCAAGAGGCTCGAGAAGATGGGATTTCAAGGACTAAGTTGATGTTCAAGCTAAACCCAACCAACTGGCATTGAAGTGATTCCAACTCATGGTGCCCCTACGGGACACAGCAGGATTGCTCTCATGGCTGCAGGTTTCCAAGGCTGAACTCTGTACAGAAGCTCTCTCTCCTGTGGGACCAGCTTTGTGGCTACTAACCACTGTGCCACCGGGGTTCCGGGGAACTGATGGCTCCTGGGAAATGAGAAGGGAGAAAAAAAAATCCCCCTGAGCATTGCTGACCAGTCACTAAAGCTGAGCGATTCCCCCAGGCAGGGCTCAAGGGGCTTCAGGCAGCTTGGCACTCCTAGGCCCAGCTGGGAGCCATCACACACAGGAGTTTTGCAGAGCACGTTCTGCTCCCAGGAAGAGCTACGGTCTTGGAAACCCACGGGGGCAGTTCTACACTGTCTCCTAGCTGCTTATCACGAGGCGTGTGGCTCAAACAGCCCCTCGGAGGGAGGGAAATGAGGCTTCTCACTGCCTTTGAGTCCATTTTGACTCATAGTGATGCTGTAGGACAGAGTTGACCTGTCCCTGTGGGTTTCTGAGATCTTAACTCTTTGTGGGAGTAGAAAGCCTCATCGCTCGTCTGGAGAATGGCTGGTGGTTTCGAACTGTTGACCTTATGGTTAGCAGCTCAGGGTGTAACCTATTTTGCCACCAGGGCTTCTAAGAAAGGGCTTGCTGCTCCTGTAAAGATCTGTAGCCTTAACAGCTCAAAGGAGCAGTTCTACTCTGTCTCACAGAGTCATTATGAATAGAGGTTGGGTTTTTTGGGTTGGCAGGTTACACTGCCCTTGGTCCCCCCCCAGCTCTGTGAGGTGGGCTGGGCGCCCCTTGTCTTACACATGAGGGCAGGGCACCGAGGCTCAGGGGGGCCTGGCAGCATCTCTTGGTCACCCGGAGTAATATGCTGACTGGTTCTCCAGGATCTTAAAGCTGGGCCTGGTGGTAGGCTGGAGCTTCCTGGGGGGGTGGGGCCAGATGGGGGCGGTGCCACAGTGGGGATGAAGGTGGGCCTTTGCCAACCTGCGCCCGGGAGAACCTGGAGGGAAGTGTAGTGGAGGGCTTAGGACTTGGTGCTCACTCTGCAGGGGCAGGCGGGCAACTGAGTGGGCAGCCGGCAGGGTGGCCTGTCGCCCCTGAAGGCATCTCAAGCCCAGCAGCACAGGTGCGCGGCCCCTGCCTGTGTTTAAAGAGGGCAGCTCCTTCCGCGCTTCAGGCCCTCAGTGCCTTCAGGTGCCAGCGACCCATTCAGGTGAGGGCAGAGCCGGCTGTGCTCGCAGGATGGGCTCGCTCTCTCGTAGTGGGTGCTGCGTGCTGTGGGAGGGGCAGGTGGTATCTACGGTCAGCGTGCTCCCCACCTGTCCAGAGCGTCACCCGGGAGCTGGACCTGTGCTACAGCACCATGGGGAGCCTCTTCCGCTGCGGCTTCCGCCAGACGCTCTTCGCCAGCCAGCTGATGCGCTACGCTGACCTCTACACTGCCACCTGCCTCAACTTCCTGCACTACCCGCTGAGCTCGCTGTTTCGGGCGGCCCCGGAGCTGGTGGGTTTCCGCAAAACCTCTCTGGCCTTTCCTACCTTCAACCTTAAAGTGAGAGCTTGTTATCTCACTATGGAGTCCTTGGGGGAAACAGTACTGGAGACTTCCAGGGATCTGTGGTCGAATCCAGGGACCGGATTTGATAAGAATCTAGGGGTTAAAGACCCTGGGGACATTGTCAGGAGCCCTGATGTCATAGTGGGTTATAGGTTGAGTTATTTACTTCAAGGTCGGTAATTTGAATCCATAAACTGCTCCCTGGGAGAAAGGCCAGGCTGTCTGCTCCTGCAAAGAGTTACAGCCTCAGAAACCCAAAGGCGCAGTCCAGGTCCCATAGGGTCACTGCGAGCTGCAGTTGACTTGAGAGCAACAGGTTTGGTTCGAGGCCCAGCCAATGCTCCCCAGGCAGAGGTGCCACGCATCGGTGGAGGCTTGAGTCCAGCTCTAACGGGAAACAGGCTTTGGAGGGGCTTCCAGATTAAAATGGACTAGGAAGAAGGCTGGGCGATCTCGTCTGAAAATCAGTGAGGGGACGTTCTATGGACCCTTGACAGACCACGGGGCTGGCACAGGACTGGGGAGCATTTAGTGCACTGTGCAGAGGGTTACCATAAGTCAAGGCCGACTTGGGGGCAGCCAGCAACATCACTAAGGACAAGAAGAAATGTGACCAGTTGCCAGAAGGCCTCCTCCTTCTACAGGCTCACTGCACAGGAGTTTGTGTGTGTGTGTGTGTGTGTGTGTGTGTGTGTGAGGGTTCTTGCATAATCGAAGAATTCCTGAAGGTCTTACTCCTGACCAATTGACACCCCCCGCCCCCCCATCTCCATCTGCCTTTGTCCCTGCAGATGCCACACGAGGCTCTTGTGGAGCAGGACCGGCCAGCCAGTTGGGGACCCACCTCCAGCCTCCTGCCTTGCAGCCAGAAGGTGAGTTGTGGGGAGAGATGGCGCTCTCGGAGCCACTAGATGGAGCCTTCACCACACCAGGCACAGAGCACCTTGGGGCTCAGCCTGTGGCTGCTAAGGAGGCGAGACCGACCTCTGGGAGAAAACCCACAGGCAGTTCTACTGTCTTACGGAGTGAGCTGGGTTCTTTTGAGTCCCGTGTCTGCAAGTGTGGCCAGCTGTTTACATGGAAATCATACGTCTATATTTAAATTACTGTTTCTCTCTCGAGTGATATATGTAGGAGCCCTGGTGGTGCAGGGGTTGGGTACTTGCTGGGCTGCGAGCTGCGTGATTGGCAGTTGGTATTCACCAGCTGCTCCTTGGGACAAAGACTGGGTTTTTTACTCCTGGACATGGTTACAGTCTCGGAAACCCACAGGGGTCGCTGTTGAGTGAGCACTGAATAGATGACTGAGGTTTTAAAATTTATTTAATCATTATACTGTATTTGGAGGGCCTAGGTGGCACGAATGGTTAAGCGCTGCACGTTGAACCCAAGGTTGGCATTTCTAACCCACTCAGAGATGCGGCGGCAGTGATCTGCTTCCCAAAGGGCATAGCTTTGACAGTCCCGTGGAGCAGTCGTGTTTGGTAACACGTGGTGTTCTCCACTGGATGACAACCAATGGGCTTGATTCTTTTTATGTTAGTCAGGGGGTTAGCGCTAAGGTTCCATCCAGGATAGGAAGGGGACAATGAAAATATTTGCATTGCATTGTCGAGAACCACTGGACATAAGAGTCCAGACTCACCTTCTCATCTCCGGTTGGCTGGCTGAGTCGTTGCCCTGCACCCTGGTGGCCGATCTGTATTGCGATCCATTTACATTCTCCCTGGGAATAGTTGTGAAATACATGCTCTCTCAAGCCAAGGCCACCCCTTCAGAAACACTAGTGACAGAGGCCCCCAGTGCGCTGCTTGGGGCCCCTTGAGCTGAGATTCCAATGACTACAGGTGCAGTCTTGACCCCCAGCCTGCTCCTGTGTCCCCAAGCCCTGTGTGAGGGTTTCTGTTGCCACCTCAGCTTTCCTGGGGCTGGCTTTTGAGCACGTGCAGTGTAGAGGTTCCTTTTAACTGGGTGGCGCGCCATCTTCCAGCTAGTGTTTATACGGTGCTTCCTGAATGCTTAGCAATGAAGGAAATGGAATTCTTTCACTCTGGCGTGGGAGAAACTCAGTATTCAAGTGCTCTCATCATGTTTAGTCCACGGTTTGCAGCTAATACCCCATCCCGATGCACTAGAGAGTTAGACAGGTGCTTATGTAGTTGTGGTTCTCAGGGATGTGTGGTTTGAACCCCTCTCCTTTCCTGCGTCCTCACCCATCTTCGCTCTAGGGTGTATTGATCCGCTTTCTACCCTGGTTGGGCATTAGTCTGTGAGCTGGGGAAGAGAGTTTCTATAACCAGCTTCTTCGTTTCTTGACGGCCAAGGGCACAGAGAGAGATGAGGACCAGGAGGGCTGCGTGGAAGCTAACTGAACTTGGATGAAGGCCGGCACCGCGGTCGTCTTCTGCTTGAGACCCATTTCAAATAAGAGGAACAGTATGGGAGAGGGGCGGGGTGGGGTGGGGGGCACCCAACCATAGGGAAGTCTCCCAAATGTAACAGATTTGGAAGCCAAGAACCTTTCTTTCAGGACGAAGGAAGGAGTATCGCCCTCACTCTAGCTGGCATCCCCCGTGGCCCTCGAGTCAGTTGGAAATGTGTGCATGGAGTGTAATTGCTTTACTCAGTTCCTGTTATCTCCACTTTCATTTCTAGACATTTCTTTTAAAAAATAGTACTTCTGTGCATTTTAAAATTATATAATAGTTTGAATGGTAATACCCGATTGGCTACAGATGATTTGATTAGCCGTTCTTTTTATTACCTGTCTTTTAGTTAGCTGTTACTGTGAAAGACATTAAATAGAAGAGCCCCAGAGTCTTTGCACTTGATGCATCAATGCACCAAAATCTATAAAGAATCATATTCATGATAAAAAATGTGAATGTTCAATTGATCGATGTATTGTGATGAATTGTATGAGCCCCAATAAATTGATTAAAAAAAAAGAGCTAAAATAATCTTTTTCAATTACAGGGAGGAAGTTAATGTATATGTCTTTCTTGATGTTATGATTTTCTCCCATAAATTTATTTTACGGTTAAAAAAATGTGAATGTTTTGGTATTTGCTTCTCCTAGATGTCACTGAATTAAAAAAATAGTTTTTTGGGGGCATATAGTTCACATATTATACAATCTAATCTTTCGGTACCAAGAAGAGATGGGCGATCATCAACAATCAATTTCAGAACATTTTCTTCTCAAACTCGTTGTTAGCCCGTCCCCCTATCCCCCCAGCCTTCCCTGCAAAGCCCCTAAGGAATTATCGGTCCAGTCATTGTCTAGTATAGCTCTACCTGTCTGGGATTGCACATGCAGAAAATCATGCACACCTGAAACAACCAAACCAACCCCAGAAAACAAACACAAAAATGAAACCTGACAGTGACAAAACTAAACAGAGAAAAACCTCAATAGAAAAGCAGAAAATATTAAAAAAGATGGAAACAACTTTAAAATGGGTCAAAAGGGAGATCCAATGATAAAGTGTTACATCGTAACGGAAGCACCTCTGCCATCAAGGCTCTCTGTCTGAGAGCAAGGCTGTTCACATCCCCGGGCTGTGGGCAGAGGGGATTCCACTGGAGGGAGGGCTTAATCCATGTGAGGGCCACTAAACCTACATGGAAGAAGCACAAGCTGCCGCTTGATGCTGCTCCCAGCAAGACTTAGCCTCAGACACGCACAGCCCCAGCTGCGCCCCGCCCTGTCGGGTCAATGCGAGTCAGAATCAACTCTGACGCACAGTGAGCACAGAGGGGAAGCAGACACATGTTCAGAGAATTCACGGCGGCGTTGTTGGGTAAACCTTGGGCTGCTAAGGCAAGGTAGACAGTTTAAATCCACCTGCCACTCTGAAGGAGAAAGACGAGGCTGTTTGCCTCCATAAAGATTCCCAGCCCTTGCCTGCAAACGGGCAGCCATCTCAGCGAGATGGCGACTAAGTCCACATGGAAGAAGCACACCGTCATCAGTCACTGAAGGACTGTAAATCATATGATCCAAGGTGGAAGGAGGGATTAGTGTGAGAAACTGAAGTCTGGGAAGTTGGCAGTTTACATGTAGTCAACAAGCCTCTGGTGAATTCCCTCTATCCACAATTGAGGGATGGGAGGAAAGCGGTTACTAAACAGAGGGCATTGGAGAGAAGAGTATAGAAGATCAAAGGCATAGATCTGACTTAAACAGTTAAAACTTTGTCCATTTATCCCCCCTCAGATGCATGCTGGACCTGATCTGGTTTTCAACATTTTCTGTGTTTTTGTTTGTTCATATTAGGGTGTATCTCAGAGGTGTTATGCCATTGGGGGGGTCACCCTCTTAAAGTTGTGTTAGGTTTTTTTGTTTCTTGGTAGATGAACCCCAGGACTGATGAACCTATAGGGACAGCAAGTAGAGTAAGAGTTTGGGGGTGGGGGTAGACTATACCAACGGGCTCACTCTGTCACTGCCCCAGTGGGAGAGTGACTTCGGACTGGCCTCAGGATGGGAGCACAGCGTGTGCTGACTCCCGACTAGTGTACTTCCAGATGCCCTGCCCGCCCTCTCAGGGCTGCTCCGTCTGGGCACCTCAACCTTCGCTTTCTCATTTCAAGCGTAAGGCAATACACAGCTGCAGGGAGGGAGCCTGTGCTGGACCAGGATGAGAGGTGGTTCCAAGCCAGCTTGTTTGGAAGGAAGCAGTTCCCACCCTAATCTTGAACTTTGACAGTCCTGGGGTCTGACTCCGTTGCTTCCGAGCATAAGCTGATCATCATCCAGTCAGCAAAGTAACACCACTGGATGTGTAGGTCCACCGGTGGGAGCCATCCCAGTGGGAATGCTTTCTTATTGAGATGCTTCCCTAAGCTCACTTTCAACAGAAGCTCCTGGGGAGAGACCACCTGCCAGACCACATGGAGGAGGGGCAGTGGTCAGACCAACCCTACCGGGTGGTGCATCTGCTTGTTTAAACCCTCAGGTGTTTCTGAGATGCTCTGTTGGGCCCACAGGGGGACACTTGGTTGAAGTGGAAAACCTTTGATTCTCTGGGGTTTCCTGTTCACCGTGGCTTCTTCCCTGACCTTAGAATTTTGTGTGATCTTATTCATTCTTGACTTTTTCTCATTACACCTCCCCTCAAAGCCCCTCTTGTGTTATTGGGAAACTATGCCAGATCATAGATCAAAGATCACCCTTTTGGGTTGGTAGTGATGGATGCCCAGAGGCTGGGAAGCCTACACTGTGTTCTGCTCAGTGGTGTTGCAAGCCTTTGTTTTCCTGGCTTGTTGTCCTCCTGTATCCTGTGTCTTGGTCTCCTGGGACACTTGTCTTCTCCCCTGACCCTGGGGGTTGTCTTCAAGCCTCTAACTTCTGGGGCTTGTGGATTTCAGTATATGGTACTATTTTTTCTCCCCCAGGGGAAAAGGCAGTAATTTCCTCAAACCCTTGTGAATGTGAAGTGTTATGTTAATGGCTGTTGTTACACACACACACACAAAATAAAAATTATAAAAGGAATACACAAGAGTTACAGTCCCAGAACCCCACAGGGGCTGCTCTACCCTGTGCTATATCTGCCCCGTGCTATATCTGCCCCGTGCTATATCTGCCCCGTGCTATAT